CCTTCCCTTTCCTTCCTAGTTTCCTGTCAGGAGAGGGAGAGCGCTCCTTCCCAAGTATTTGTGGCCATGCAGCTGCTACATACGGCCTTGCTGGAAGGGAAATGGCTACCCGCCCAGCACCGGCTGATCTTTCTTTCTCTTCGCCCGAGGCTGCCAGAAACGCGCTCCAGTTAATGGGTCCTTGAGAGAGACAACTCATTTATTTTCCTCATCCGAGTCTGTTGTTTTGCTCAACAGCATACCTGTCCCTCCTCATTCTCATTTCCATTTCCCTTTCCCTTTCTTGATCGCAGTACAGATTTTTATCTCCAGCATTCGCATTCGCACATTAGCATAAACACAGCAAGGTCTCCATGTTAATTGATTTGAATTACTGAGTATGGTTTTAAGAGCATCCAGTAGTGCTGCTAGCCGACTGAAGAGAGCCAAATCCACCTCCTCGGTTAAATCGTACAACAACAGCATCCCTCCTGTTCCAGATCTTATAGACCCTCAGACCGCGCATTACCATGCAATGGCTGCTGCTTCAGTTGCCATGAAACGCTCCAACCAACGGAGTTCTATGAATTTCAGAGATTCCTGCGACATATCTCGCAGCATTGATAGCGAGACAGATGGAGGGTTCTCTCGCGCTTCCAGACCACGGAGCATCCGTTTCAGCACAAGTGATAACTCTAGCAAACATAACCGACAACCCTTCCAGTCTCCAAACTCCGTGATCTCTCCAAAATATAGCGACACAGCCGCCAGAAGCGATCCTTCTTTTCATGCTGTCGTCGAAGAACTCACTCCGCGAATGAGTGAGATGTCTGGGAGTGAAGACAGTGTTCCATCGGTTCCATCGGTTCCATCGTCATATCGCAGGCTCCGCAAAGCCAAATCCATGTTTTCGACCCGCAAACATGCCTTTATACCATCGGACTCGTCTTACTCGCCCCATAGGGCCTATCACTATTCTGATAGCCCCGAAATGGGTCATCTTTCACGAGCCACTCTGCGACGATCCAGATCATTCTTTGGAACAGAAACTGCCCAACAGCCACACTCAGAACACATGAAAAGGTTGCAGAGTCATAATGCGGCGGTTCAGCTGGCTCGTGAACAATATTTAGAGTTGAAACAACCAAAACAAAGTAATGGAGCAGAATCTATTCTTAGCAAAAGAGGTCGATACCAATCGAAACCTTTCAAAAAATCTCTTCGATCTTCGACTGACTGGAATGCCGAAAATTGCATTACATCTGACAGTCGGTCTATCAAACTTGGCATCCTTTATCCAAGTGAAAGAAATCAGAGTTCAAAATCTAGGATTTTTTCGGTCTCTATCAAAAATAGCCTGAAGCGTATATTTGGACGAAACTCGGTGGCGCAGGTAGATATGAATGCGCCCTCTGAACGGCAACGTATTCACAGATTAGGATTCAGTGATTTCATCAGTTCTGACTCAACTGGTATTGCATATCTTTTGTGATCCCTAATCCTTTCCACTTTTTAATGGTCTAATTTATATATAGGGACAACGAACTTCGGCAACCGCCCAGCTAGTGTGAGAACAATGAGAAGCTCAGACAGCTATGCATCAAGCTCGCGGGTCACCAGTTGGACAGATTCAACCACCGTCAGTACGATGCCGGCTAGAGACGCTGTATCTGACCAACATAGGCTTGCCATTATTCAAGAAAATGGTGCTCCACCAGAACCCATCCCATCTCCAACGTCTTTCCATTACAACGACGGATACTCTGTTTTCAGGAAGCCTTTGTGCACAGAGGGCAACAGTGATAACTCTTATGGGGTAGTTGACAGCCAGCGAGTATACTCTGCCCTAGTGAGACATATTGATGAGTCCCAACACCACAACGAAGGTGATGTTACTCCTAGAGCCGGAACAATCCGACGATCCATGTACAGCCCATCATCGTCAGTCCATTTGCACCAAATGAGCAGTACCATTCGTCACATACCAAGCGAGGTATCAATGAAAACCATCAGAGCTCTATCCGTAAGGCGAAGCGAATCACCAAGCTTACGAAGCCAGATGTCTGTCAGCTCAAGCTACCGCAGAGATGCACTTGGTTTCACTCCCCAAGAAGTTGCTCAGCATAACGAAAACTTGAGTCACCATCGTTCAAGAGAATCTTTGCGCGAGTCGAGACCTTACTTTTTCCAATCTGACTCTAGAGCAAGATCCGCGTTCCCGAACCCCCTGGTTCCGCCGCTATTTTCCTCATATAAACGAGCGATGGGTTCGGAAGGTGATACTGGAAGTGTGATCATATCACGACCCGATGCCATGGAGCGAACCCCAATCTCGCCAAGTGTCTATTCAAGAACAAGTGGAGAGACTCCGAGAAACAGTGGAAGCCGGAGGGATTTGAGCTTTTCGGAATCAAGCGATGAGCGCGGCACCGTTACTATCCTCGCCAGTGAGAGGCTGCCATATAAGCCTAAGGAATACGGTGGTTATGCAAGTTGCGATAGACCGACCAGGGGTAGTGCTGATTGGAAATCGTGGATTAGTTCGCAAATGGATCTTCTTGATGCCACTCCCAATAGCCTTACAATATCTCAATACTGCAAGATCCCTAACACACATTACCGGGAAAGCACTCAAATCAACGACGAAATGTACGACAACAAGGCCGAAGAATTGCCACCTAAATTACACGACAGTGAATCCCCCGAGGAGGAATCTCCTCAGAGATCATCATCATCGTCCTGTGCTGACCGGAGGCTCCCGCTAGTGGAATTAAAATCGTTTACGCGGAATAACTTCTCACGGCCACTACGGCTGTCTCCGGATATATCTATCTCCATTTCTTACGCGACAGCTCAAAGACCATCAGTGGTGGCTAGATCAGAGTCTCCTCGGAGTATCCATATCAAACGCGGCGACGGCGATTCCGGGCCAATTACCCCATCCAGTTCTCTTCCCCGGAGAAGCGTATCCCGAAGTCCAAGCAATTCTCCATTGGTATACGCGAAGCCCAGGTATTCCGGCCCCGCTCTAACGCCAGTGACGCCTACAAAAGCTTCAAAGACGGAACGCAGTACTATGCCTGTTCAAAATACCACTGAAGAAGGTAGTCTGACCGGCAAAGCAAACGAGGCTAGAAAACTAACGTATGCCACCAATTTTAGCTCTGTTCGGAACAAGAGAGATGATGGTCGAGTGAACAACGAGAATTCAAGGGGTGTTAGAAGACCCACGAAGAACGACTTGTCAGCTCTTGGAGACATCCATTCGACGATTAGCAGCAAGCGTATGGTGGATATATTTTTAAGTCAGAGAAGACGGCAAATGGGCGTAGCAGAAAACACCACCGAGAACGCTTTTCTCTAGTCCCGTTCCAACTTTGCCACATCAAGCCAGTAAATGGCATCTCTCACAGAGGCACAAGGCTCGCATCACTTTCCACTCAGCTCAACGAAAATATGGTAAAGCGTCCATGGAGCAGCATTTTTCTGTTGTTGGCTTTTGAAGAGGTCGCATAATTAGCATTCATATCTGTCTATGATATCCGTCCGTTTCCCACTCTCCGCTGTTTGGTTATCCCTGGCTCGGAGACATTCAGAAACACAGGTACTCTTTTACGTTATCCATTCTGTCTCTCTTTAATGTCCGCCATGTCGCACTCCTTTTCCCCAGTTTCTGTATAACCCGAATAGCACTCTGTACATTACATGCATACATACCTATATGTAAAAGCTGTTCTCATCGTTTAAGCAACCGTTCAGGTATCGCAAGCAATTTTGGGTGGTGCCAGAACTACTCTATAGTCTCAGGGCATACCGCACACCTTTAGAGATCCCACTAAAGATGATGATGATGATGATGATGATGATGATGATGATAATGTGAACGTACTCCACTACTGAGCGGCGGACACCACCATGCCGCGGATTCCCACTGACAATCATCAAATATCCAACTCAACTATCTTCAACACGTCATCTCTTCACATTTTGTATTCAAAATGTGTTTATCTCAAGAACCTCACATACAGTTGATCATTACTGCATATAAATCAAAAAATCATAAAATAATGATTGAAGATAATACATGAAGCAAGAACATGAGATCATGACGATGATATCTGAAACTTTGGATGAGACTGACTTTGTAATGAGATCCTGTACAGTCTTTCAAAGTAGCTGAGTGCAGTGAGAAATCACATATAGTTATTCCCAAAAAAAAAAAAAAAAAAAAAAAAATCATGAATGAGTTATAATTATTTGAATATATAGAATCAAAGGAATGTTCCATCTCATCAGTGATGACTCTAGAACAAAAGAAATATCATGTTGTATCTCGATGACAAGAATGATTAGCTTCTCAGAATCGAAGAACAGCTCCAAGTGCTACTGACCAGATCACTGATGCAATAGGAGACTGGCTAATCTAGACCGGGATGCTATTCTATCTATACAGCTGCCCTGATATAATATTTTCAATATTTAGGTGTGTTGGTTTGTTGAATGCATTGAATGTTTGATGGATTCCAGAGAGAGAATCCGCGCGCTTCGGTGTTACATCGATGATGATGTAACATCGCTAACTAACTAACTAACTAGTCAACTAGTTAGTTAGCCAAATCCGCTGTCACGTCATTTCTCCCGTGCGTTAACTAATTCCAGCCGAAACGTCAGGTTTTCGACCGAGCAGCTGAGTCATCAGCCTTTCCGCCGCCGTGGGTTGAAGTTACCTACCTCCGCATCGATAAGGTGACCATCAGTGAGCTGGGCCCGACGTTGGTGGGAAAAGTCTGCGGACTTTCCCCCCCCATTTCCCCTCCCATTTCCCCCCCAATTCCCCCCCCTCCTCGCGCCCCCGGGGGCCCCGGGCGCCCCGGGCGCCCCCCCAAACTTCCCTCCTGCCCTTGCAAGAGCTGGGGAGAGCTAACCCTTTTTTCCTGTTTCGTGGGCTTTGGGTTAGACCTTCCCCCCAAACAACTCCGAATGATAACTTGTGAAGATAAGGAAGGAGTGGCTGAGCATGGCTCCTGCTGAAGTGAGTTCGTTAGTCAACTGCGTACTGATTAACTAACTCGCGCTGCGGCGGAAGGAACGCGGCGGCGCTTACAGCTGGGCACCATGAGCAGAGAGCCGCCATGACCGCGTTTGTGTATCCCTATACACGTCTACACACACACACACACACACACACACACACACACACATTATACATACATACATACATATATATATATATACAACATCTAACATATATACACATATGCACATATTGTGCCTTCGCTATTTCTCTCGCGGGCCACGGCGCCGTCGCTCTGGACTGCTTACTTCGTTGCGCGGAGCATTTCCCGTCAGTGGTTCTGGCATGGTTTAGGTTTTCCTCTGTCGGCAAGGGTGAAGGCAATTTGGTTCCCCGATACTGGTCTTTCCGGACCCTCTGCCATTTACACTTCTTGCGACAAATGATATAGTTCGAAATGAGGAGGTTTAAATTGACCTCATTCAATTCTCCCTGGCGGTTTTTAGTCTTTGCGTCATTTCTCTTCCTATTGCTCTTTGGTTCCCGTTCCGTTCGTTTTATAGCCTCGAACCCCCTCGAACCTCCTGCATAGAATTCTCCCACCAACTAACTATAAGCAACCCGCACCGCAACCGCAACGTCGAAGAATTTTACCTTAACACAGCCCAGCCTGCTTGAGCTCCCCTCAAACGAATACCTCGGCATAGGTGTCGTTCAGTCTCGGATCAAGTTACCTCTCAGGGTGCTCTCTATTTCCACACACCAGAGTCTCGGCGGCCCCTTATCAGCTCGCCAGCCAAGCGGAACAGAATCTACCTGCTCTCGGAAGAAACGCAGCAAGACAAAGTGTTCTACCCAAAGAGAAAAAATTAAATGAATAAAAATAATAAATAAAAAGAAAAAAATAAAAATAAAAATAAAAATAAAAATAAAAATAAAAAAAATAAATAAATAAAAAATAGCCGCCCCTGGATACGTCCAACTTGAACGCCATGGGTATGTCTCCCTACGCAGCCTATCTGTTTTCCAGACGGATGCTAACCGCCCCAAAAGCAGAAGACGCGACCACCTGGCTCATGCTGCTGCTGCCCGTCTTCTTCTGTGTGATTGCGGTCACGCTGACCAGCTCGTTGTCGTTTACCGCACAGAGGCCTGCAATGGCGCGCATCGAGTTCCTCATTAATGCCAGCTATGTCGTCATGAACTGCACCATGATCGTGTTCCTTGCCTGCCAGTGGGTTTCTTACGAGGTTGCCATCAGCAGGCTGGATAAGCGCTATCCCAACATCATACGGGTGCAGAGCCTCCTGTCGCATATATTATCCGCCTTTTTCCTGGCGCTGTTGACCTTCTACGGCGCTTGGCGTCTCACGAGACATAGATCCTCAGAGAGCGCAAACCCCAACTCCAGCACCGCGATGCAACAGCTCTACTGCACATTCATCCTGAGCGCTGCCTGGATAATCACGTATCCCTCCGCGCAAGCCAGACAGAATCATGCCAAGTGGGACGACTTCTCCGACGCAGGGAAATATCCGGAACTCCAAGCCAGTCTTCGGCGACTCGCAAATCTCCACATCGGCCTCTTGATTTTTGGATGGGTGGTGGCCTACTTGGGACTGACCACCTTCTGCCGTGCTCTATCCACATTCCAATCTCAGGTGTGGGATTATTTCCACCCCCCGTCTAATTTTCGACACGCAATAGCCACCCGAGGATATTCACCGCACCCATGGGCCCGGCACGAACGTCGTGATGTCGAAGCACAGTCTCTCGGCAACAGCTCCGTCTTTGAAATGAAACACCTCAGTAACGTCTCCGTCGTCGGCGGCGGTCCCCAGGATAACAAGGCGTCGCATCCTGTCCCGAGAGCTCACGCTGCATCTCCGGATTCCCTCTCACAGCCAGGCCCACCTGCACCGGCGTTCATCGGCTCACAATCACCATCCCTGAGTTCGTGGTCGACGGAATCGCCAAACCTAACGCCCCCGCTACCAACTCCAAGTCCCAGCCAACGCTGCTTTTTCTCATCGTGGTGGAGTCGTGCGTCCACTTGAACAGCTGCAAGTTGTGCATGTCGCAAGCAATATATATTTATGGTGTACGGTATGTATAAACTTCGTATAGCCTCGTCTCTTAATCCGAGCACATGCTCACGAATATATATATATATAAATACGTTTTTTTTACTGAGTTTTTTAAAGATACGCATGGTTTTTGACATCATGGAAGGTTTTTTGATGGATATTTAATGGGAGATATGAAGGAGTTGGGGATTTAATTTTTTTTTTGTTCCTTGTCGATTCTTTTGTTTGCTTGGAGGGAGGGAGGGTAGGGTGGGTTATATCATGAGTTCCATATAGAGCATGGACAGCTTTCGCTTTCACTTTCACTTGCACAGATTGGGATATCCAGTCCGCTCATTTCGTGTTCCATGACAGATTAATATCTTCCCTGTATCATTCTCATGTTGTATGCAACAGTTGTACTAGCTGCTTGTCTACATTTTTATCCGCACTACTGCAAAGACGAATTTATAACCCCACGGAAATACACGTGTATGTAGTATGTATGTATATCGGTAAAAGGAAGAATTGAATATCCATTCAACAAGCTCATAGCCCAGCATTTCTGACTTATGGACCTTATCCCGGGGGGGTAAAAATGGAACGGGGAGAAAATGTCAAACTAAACCCAATTTCAGTTTTCGTCTCTTGCCACATTGCTCTTAAGTTTCGCTTATTTATTCTATTCTATTGAGCAGCTCGCAAATCCACGTTACATCATGGTGGAGGGTAGGCGGTTGTTTCTTCCAAATCTAACTAATGAGAGTAACGAACTGTGTGGCCCGGGTTTAAAATTGAACGAACGCATCGATCAAAATGAGGGGAATGAGGTTTTATATAAGAGGTCTCAGCGAAATGATTTCGTCGGTACGGAACATAAAAAATAGCTACCCAAAAAAAAAAAAAAAAAAAAAAAAAAAAAAAAAAGGGAAAAAAAAGGAGGAAAAGAAAAAGAAAAGAGCAGGTCGGAAACGAAAAAAAGTCAAATATAATCTCTATGACAAGAAATAGAGAACAGAGACGGTACATATGCTTGGTTTTGGGGATTCTTCATTTACAAAAAAGAAGGGAGACTGGACAGAAAAGATCTCGAAGATACATCCCAAAGAAGACGTAGAAAGGGTTATATTTTTTTGTTTTGGGGGGGGGGGGGGAGGCTATTTTAATATCACTTTTTACTTTGTAGGGGAACAATGTTTTTTTATTATTTTTTTATTTTTTTCTTTTCAGCATCGACAATCATCTCACTCAATGACAATAATTAGCTGGGAAGCTCCCCTTCATACCCTTAAGCTCACCCTCCCACCAGTCATCTGTGCTGTCAGTCTTCTTAAGTACCCGAATGCGATCGCCTTCTCGAAACGCAAGGTCCCCAGCTCCCTGGCCGGGAAAGTCGTAGAGGGCCGTTACGAACACGGCATGGCTGGAAGCTGCACGCGGAGGTGGAGGTGGGGGTTTCTTCTTAGCTGCCGCTGCGGCCATTTGCGTCATGCCCAGAGAACCTCCACCAGCTCCAGAGGGCTGCCTCTCGCGACTAAAGTAGTCCATCCGTGGGCCGCCGGGGGTATAGCCGGATGGAGTAACGCCGGCGGACGTGTTGGTGTTGGTAGAATAATCTGAGATTTCGGACGGGGGACCGCTGCTGATTGGAGGGGAGTACTTGGGTTTGGTGAAAGAGATTGCATTGATGGATGGTGGGGAGTGGTCGTTTGAGCGTGGTTTTGATTCGAAGACGGGCGAGGGTGGGCGGATGTTGCTGATGGGGGAAGCGGAGGATTTGCAAATGACGGACTGGCTGCTGGGACGGCGGGATCCCAGGCCATTTGCGTATGTACCGTTTCTATGCTCCTCGGAGGTTCTGGGTTGTCGTGAGCCCTTGCGGTAGGCGACGCAGCCAATGGATTCCACTTCGCGCTGGGCTGGCAGAATATCTCGTTCCCAGGTTTGGATTATCAGGTCCATTGGGGGTGGTGGGGAAGGGAAATTTTCTTGTTCACAATAGTTGTGAAGGGTCGTGTAGTAGAGTGCAAGGAGATTGTTTTGAATATCAATCTGTGCAGCCAACAGGTGCGGGAGTATGGAGAATGTGGCAGTGATTAGTGGTGGAAGATGCGTGCGTAGATGCTCATCTGCTGCATTGTATTCCTGTTATGATTTTTTAGTACTGTTGGTCCAACAACACCCAGATTCTTCGATGTGGAGTATGGTACAGACATCTTTTGCTCTACTTAAGTCTATCTCAGCCTTTGCTAAAGCAGAATTATCTCTATCTGACCGCTTCATCTTTTTCCGAGATGTGTCCACTCGGCTTTGGTAACGCTCAAAATCCAGCTGGAATGGAACATCCATTAGTATCAAGCATCAACAAAGGAGACATCCCCAGCATAGTTTATTCCATATATTCGCAGGGTGGATAAGGTATGCATCCCACGAACCTTCTTGTCATCACGCTTCTTAATGATTTTCTTCATTGGTTGCAGATAGTCCTTTGCGTTCATTGCCGGTTTGATCATTCTCTCATCCACGCTGTTTATTTCGGTCAGCAGCTCTGTCTTCAACTCCTCGTATGCCTCGTTAAGCCGAGAGGTCCTTGCAAGGGTAACCTCTGGTGTCTCTATGGGAGAGTGGGAGGTTGAGGGCTCTGAGGACCCGACTATTGGGTTGTATAGGGAGTCGAATTCCTGAACGAGGCGGGATTGATAGGTGAGAATAGACGTCCACGCATCGCGCCATGCTTTGCTCGAGTCAATAACCTATAGACACAGGACAATGTCAGAACCGTTGTTTTAATAATTTTGTATTTCTATCGTTTACTCCCATCCCTTCAACCCAACTTGGCTCTTGGGAGATATATGGAAAGAGAGAGAGAGAGGGGGGGGGGAAGGGAATGAAAAGGGTTTCGGCATACCCTTGCCAGGAGTTTATCAGCATCATCGAAATCCTTGAGCAGAACGGAAACATGGCTGTCATCCGCGGACCGCTTCATAAATTTCCCAAATTGCCTGTGCACCGAATTCATCGTGCTGGTTCCAAAGGGATGCAGAGAAGGGATCCAATTCGACCTTTGATATGACCACCGGGCCGCGGGAGGTTCTAACGGTGAGCGGGACGGAGAGCGAGACGGTATGAGAGAGCCGATGCAGCAAAAAGGGGGAAAAGAATGGTTGAAGTTGTTTAAAAGAGCATGGACGAGAATGAGATCGCCGTGTCGAGGGAAGAAGACAGACAGGGCAGCAAGGAATTGTGCGGGTGCAACAGGATGCGTCACCAGTGGAGATGCCTGTTAGATGGGGATGGTTTCAGTGTGCAGTGACAGCTCTGGGCTGACTGGGTGAGACAGGAAGAGAGGAATTGCGATAGGCAGACGGAGCAGACAGAGCAGACACAGCAGACACAGCAGACAAGAGGGGGAACAGGGAGTCCGGGACCAGACAAGGCAGAAACAGCTGGAATCAAGAACTAACAAGCAGCTGTGGTTTAGTAAGCGAGCTAGTTAGTTAGTGAGATGATATTTAAAGTGGTTTGCAGTGTCACAAAAAAAAAAAAAGAGTGTGCGTGTGTGAGAGTGAGTGGAGACTGGACCCGAGGAGCGACGGGGCACAGAAACGAGAGACTAGAAAATATCTTGGCGGTGGGTAGCTGGTGATCAGTGGGACAGGACAAGAAATGGGATTGAAACGGAATTGAGATGGAATCGGGATGCAATTGACATGGAGATTGAGATGAGACGAGACGATATAAGATATCTGGGGGAAGGGGAGGGGGGAAAGGGGGGGGGATAATGCAGCGAATGTAGCGATGATTTGAGAGATGATAAGTTTCATGCTTCGGAAGCATTTGCAAAACGCAAGGGGGGAGATAAAAATAAAAAGCGTAGGAAATATTATTAATAAACCAAGTTGCCACAACTAACCAATTAACCAGCTAAATAACTGGTTTGCGAGTTATAACTAATTCACCTACGGGCTCTCACTTGTCTTCAGTCTCATCTTCTTTATTATCTTACGAATATTTAACGTGATTCAACCACCGAGCCGGGCGTCATTCTATCCCGAGTCCCAACATCTACTTACCACAATTATTCAATATGCCAGCCGCCTCCAGCAAAGAAGTTCCCAACCACTTTTATTAAATTAAAGCCTCATATATGAAATCAAGCAAATGAAGACTCAACTTGAGCTGCTGCTAAAACATATGGACATTTTTCTCACAGTGCAATAGCAGACAGACTTCAAGTTAAGTCTCACGCGTGAATGTTCAAACTATTAAAAACCGACCTCTACAGAAGAAGAACCTCTAGTTCAATGAATCATGAATCATATTCATGAATGAGAGAGACCAGCCTTTCTGGATCATGACTGTATGAGAGATGGTCGATTTACTGCCTGCAGAGTGTACCTTTACAACTAAGTCAGCAGATTTATTTTATAGTCCTTTGGATCAAGGACAATATTCTCATGCAAAATATGACTATCAGTGAGTTTTATGCAGGGATGCAAATAAAGATATTATACAAAGTGATTTAAATTGATTTATTACTAAAAAAAAGTATGAGATTGGGTCGGACAATATATACAACTTTGGTGAGACCCGACTTTTAATAAAAGTCATCGCAGCAGCTTTTTAAGATTAGTGATCAGAGCTGGGAAACAGAGCAAGTCAGCTTTTGTACAGTCGAAGCATGGAGAGTGAAGCAACTATGATTGAGATAGACAATGCTACACAGACCAAGCTCTATCTCTTTTAACTATGATTATACTGGAGAGAGAGTAAGCTTTACCTGTTTAAAAGCCAATAATATAAGCAGCGAGCTGTCAGCAGACTTAGTAAATAATAGCTGTTAACTAGTTAATGATAGAAGCTGAACTTCCCCAGATAAGCTTAACTTAACATATCTGCAGAAGATATTTTCATAGACATATTTTTAAGACTTATAATCAGCAGATACAGACCATTTGACTATAAATAAATATAGCAATTATACTGTTAACTTTAAAGTTTTATATGCATTTTTACCTTTCTTCTTTACTGTAGTGATTAAATATGCGTTATTTTTTTATTATTAAAAACACTATAGAGTAAAAAGATAAAAAAGTGTGTGTGCACATCAGCTGGATTAATAAGAAGTTTCTAACCGACTTAGTTATATAATAATTAGATAAAAAGTCAATAAACAATACTATTATAAGAAATAAATTTAAAATGAAAAGATTTGATGCTATATAATTTAACTTAAATGAGATTTTTACTTCAATACTTAATTTTATGCTTTTGCTCTTTTAAAGTTTGCTTATAAATTTTATAAACCTTATTTCTTTGAAACTTTGAAAACCTCTTGTATGATGGATGATGACCCCTAATTGAAACAGTTTAGCCAGTCGAAGTAAATATTAACTAGTTATATAAACATTCCTTTTTAATCTTATCGATTAAAATTTAATTAGCTAGAAAATATCATAATCATAACTAGTATTATATTAATATAAAAGGAAATATCAGCTAAAAGCTATCAGTATTAGCAAAAGGTAAAAACGAGGAAGAAACGGTACCTATATAATTAGTTAAAGGAACAATCGTAGCTGGCTGCGGGTGATGAGACTGCCGCTTAGGGGGCACATCTGACCGGTACCCTTCAGTATCATGTCAGTTAAAACTAGCAGTTGAGCCTACACTACACATAAATTGCCATCATTTCCTACGCTGAAAATCATGTATCCGTTGCAAGTTGTAGGGTGACTGTCGATGGGGAAGATATCCTCTCTGCTCGGGGGATTCGAAAACTACTCCGAAGTGCTGAAGATCTGATATCCTTTCGAAGTGAGTATGGGCTGATACCTAGCTAGCTAATCCTTCTCCCAATTTCCAATATGTATTTCCTAGTTTGTTTTTCTTTCCCCAGCTTGAGAGGACATAATATCTGAACAATTGCATTGATTTGTTTGAGACCCAATCTTTCAAGTGGGGAGAACCAGAGCTGGCCACCGAGCAGCGGGTACGGGCTCCGTCGGTGCCAGTCGGGGTTTGCAGCCAGCAGTGGGTGGCCCCGGTGTGGACTGGGGGAATGTAAGGCGTAACTAACTAACTAACGGGGCCTTTGGCTTCACAGTCCCGCCCGCCCGAGGAGTCGCCTTATTGAGCCCGAACTTCGACCCGAAAGAAGCAGAACGCAGAACGGCCGCGACGTACGGATAACTATTAGTCACTCTTTAGTAACAATCTCGCTATGAGGCTTTAGTTCTCTTTGTTGTAAAGTGTGTTTTTTCAACACTTAAGTTTTGTCTGCATAATCACCTTATATGTGTAACTACTCAACTTCGTATCTTGTCATAGGTACTGGACGGCTCACAGTAATAATGAGAAAAAGAAGCAAAGTTGTAAGAGAATCTAGGCATCATATTTAACATGGAGAAGGCTTAACTAGAGAAAAATCTCAGGCTTTTATTATTTCATCGGCCAAGGCAGTTGAACTGCTTGTTAATTCAACATATCTGTCAGAGCCTCTATCTTCAGTCTCAGCATCATCCTCACAAGTTTCACCATGGTGTGGTCACTGGCTCTCATGGGCATACTAATGCCCTAGTGTTGTTTTTTAATTTAAATTAATTAGTTGTTGTTGTTGTTGTTGTTGAGTGTTGGAAATGTAGATTGCAATTTATTCAATTGAACATTTTGGTTGAATTACGTTAGTTATATAATATGGTGCTGATTCTGTAGGTACCAAGAAACTAACTAGTTACTGCACGTGTCCAAGTGAGGCGCTGAATCAGCATCATCTTTCTCAAGCGTCTCTCCATCAAAAAGACAATGTTGATCCTCACAGCAGAGAACTATACAGAACTATACCCAGGAACTCAGGTATAACTAGATATATCTCTCTCAATACCAATGGATCAAGTAGGAAGACAATGCTAAGTTAAAGCCATGGTCATGATTCTAGCCAGCCGCATCATAATCTTGGAGATGTCAACTCTGTGTGGCCTGCATCCAAAATGAAATCCTCTGCTGCATTCCACCTCAGTTCTGATACGTCAGCTACCACCCAGAACTCCGCCCCTGTTAGCAGGTTCCGCTGTCTATTCTCCCATGATCTCAGGCGCAAGGCAAAACGATGGCAAGATGGCTTCCTGCGCTTCCATTCCTTCAACAAACGCGTTATGGTCTATGATACCCAGGGTATCTTCGTTGGAGATCTCCATTGGTGCGAGGGCGAGGAATTAAATGATGGTGATGAGCTGGAGCTGGAACGCGGGGTCCTCGTGCAAGTCTGCGAGTGTGTTGAAAAGACCCAGACGGATTTAACAGAGTTGCTGAGTAAGAAAACACATGTTTCTACTTCCTCTACAGCAAGGGGCGCCGGTTCGAATGGTAATACGTCTCCAAACTCGTCGGGACGGCTAAAGTCGCTGAATGAGGTGTTGGGAATTCAAAGGACGCCAATTGGGAGGGTTGCGCTACCCGCAAAGTCACCCTATGAAGAACGCCATCAGACCATTCGTCTAAATGATGGTGCTGAGGCCACTGCTGAACGGGCTCCAAAGAGGCAGAGACAAGACGCCCGTGAGCGAGGAAATGACGCTGATAGATCATCATGGCAGAACCCGCTTCGTGACTCAAGTTCATACGCTTCTGCTTCAAATTCATTCGCCTGCTTTCAGCCAGCAAGGGATCTAGCTTGTAACAAGTCCACTACCTCCAAATCTAGTTCAAAGAGAACCCCAGGTACAACAAAAAGGGGCGAGAGGGGCGAGAAGACGAAATCACAGACTGTCATCGATCTAACTAACTCGAGCGGATCTTTCAATACTCTACAGATAGCCATTGAGAAGCCTCGTAGGAAATTGATGTACAAGGACCTACTCCCGCCGCAAGCCGTCCAACGCTCAAAGGAGAGACAGGACAGCGAAAAATCAAGAGGGGATAAGCAGTCCCTATTAGTACTTGAAGATAGCGCTGCTGAAACCGTTGAAGCCGAAAATATCCCTTCCCCTGTCCATACCGTCAAGCCAGCTGCTCTCCTGTCAACCGCAGAGGTAGATAACACCTTACACTTTGTACCGTCAAGTTCAACTCTACACGCCCTATTAGAAGCCGACCCCCCACCATCGTCTCAAAGAACTAAATACATAAACCTATTCCTCAATCCAAGTGTCCAAAAGCCGCCAGTGGCTTCTACAACCAATAACCAGAAGGAGTCTACTGCCAGCCATGCACCACCTCCTGCGCCTCAAAGTGCACAATGCACTACCATCTCTCCTGTCACTTCTCCTACTACCGAAACCTTTCCCCCCAGCCCCCCCGATAATAGACCTCTATCCACCCGTCGACTCTTGGTCCGGGACCACTCAGACATCACCCCGTCACTAGCAATAGCAAACAATACATCAGATCCCACACCACCGGTGCCACGACCAAGAATACATCAAACGATACAACGCTCCGACTCCCTCCCCACCATAGCTGAAAGAAGCAAACCAGCAGCAGCAGCACCACCACCACCGCTAGACCCTGCCGCCCCTTCAAAATCCTTCCAAAAGTCCCTCCCAGACACATCGTCTGTGCTAGGGAGAACTACTTTGGCAACGGACCCAGCCCCACGCATGCGACAGAGCCTCCTAGCACCCAAACGGAACCAGCATGTTGCCACATGTGTAGATGTTGATGAGAAGGGTCAGGGCCCGTGGACTGAGGAGGCGCTTGATTTGTTTGACTGGTGGCCCGCTGGACGGCCGAAGCCGGAGGGCAGAAAGGTGGTAGGTGGTGGGAACTTGTAGTCCATGAAAATGATGGAGGGGTAATGGTGGTTTGGGGGGGGGTGCATGGGATGTTTTATTTTTTTATTTATTATTGTATATTTTAACATTGCTTACTACTGACAGCGTTGGGTTGGATGTTCCAGGCTGCCTCTTTATTTTCCTTTTCATAGCCTTGTTCTTCTCCTTTTGTTGTTTATTTATTTTTTATTTTTTTATTTTTGATTTGATTTCATTGTTCATTACATCCAGATATGATCGCATTATTTACCAATGAGGGCTATGAGGGACTTAGTCGATTGGCATTTGATATACAGAGCACGAAAGTATTAATCTAGCATTGAAAAGCGTAGGACAGCAGTTAAAGCCCAAGGAAACTATATGCTCTGTCTAAAACCGATGCAAACAAATCTCTACTCTATTGCTATCCATCAAAGGAAGTGCCAATAGGTATCAACTCTAGATTGTAACATCGAGTTTTGTAATGGACAATATTCCTGTCAATTCTTCACGCCCTCTTCACCAAAGTCCCCACCACATACGGCAAAGTCGACCACTCAAACCACTTTTGTATATCCGCTTTCTCCCACCCACCCTCACCAGCCTGCTCAGCCACCTCCATCAACACTCTGGCCGTATCCCGATTCAAATGGCAATTACCCAGAAAAAATTCCCACCCACACAACATATAAACAGCCTGCATCAACCGGGAGAAGAAGTTTCCCTTCCTCCCCCTCCCACCACAACGCAGAGACCAAGGATTAACAACATGCTCACACACCAACAACTTCCCCCCAGGCTTCAACAAATCATACAACCCTCTCACCGTCTCCCGCTGATCAGGCACGGAGCATAACACGCGCACGCACACAATCGTATCAAATATGCCCCGCCCTTGCACCGAGCCCCTCACCTTCCCGCTAACCACATCCGTCTCCGTCTCTGCCAACAGCCCCTCCCTCCCCAGCGCCGGGAACAGCGCCGCCCTCTCCGCCCCACACGGCAGAATCTGATACTTACCGCCCAATCCACACGATTCGACTTTCGCCATGAGATCGCCGTGCAGTCCGTGACAGGGCTCCGCGCCGTACATACGGATTAGGTTTGAGTTGTTGAAGAAGGGGGTTTGCGAGCCGGTGCCGGGGCCGATGTCGAGGACGACGCCGTCGGCTTGGGCAAGGAGGGATGGGATTAGAACTGATGAACTGACGCGTGGAGGATCTGCGTTATCGCGGACGCCTGTGTGGATAGTAAAATGGTGAGATGTATGAGTGGTGTTTTGAGGGAAGATTTTTTTAGTTTTTCATTGATGATGAGGATATTGGGAAAATTCCCCCCCCCCCCCCCCCCCCCCCCCAAATCACTGTTAAAACCATGCATCATGAAGGTTTGATTGATTTTTGGGTTGCCCAAAAAAAAAAAAAAAACCTAACCTGAAAAATTGATCCAAAACCTCGAGAACGCTTCACTGCGGACCTGCTGCGGGCGAAGTATGGGAGTTAGAATCTCGCCGCGCCTAAAGATAGTCTCAAAGAGAACGGCAGTGAACTCTGCGAAAAGTAATAAAATATATCACCAATAGAGCGCATATGTTCCCCAAAGAGGGGAAGATATGGGCTTGATGGTAAAGTAATTTGGTTAGCCCTGTTGGTTCTTCTTTTAAAAAAAGGGAAATATTGGATGTGTATAGAAATTCCGCGCAAAATGGGATGGTCGCCCGATTGCAAATGGATAGGGAATATGGGCAGAGACGGGCATAATGGATCTGGGATTCAAGGAGGGGGCATGCATATCCGGATTAACCCATCATCATTACATATACATATAACATATACGGGGGATTATGCAAGGGAGGTATTTTTGTAAGCATTCAACTGAAGATCCATAGCAGGGTGACTTCAGAAGAATGGTGTACAAAACACAGCATCCCCTATCGAGAATCGCAGGGGACTTGGAAATTGGAAATTGGAAGAAGAGTAAAAATCAAGACAAGGGTTGGAGGAAACGATACTGCAATTATCCCGGAATCCCATTTTCCTCTGCTGCAACCTAATCATCCTCAGATTGCAGCACACTGGTGCTTTTCCATCCTCAAAGAGTACACAAATGCTAATTGAGAAAACGGACGAGAGAGAACAACACAAAATATCACGTACGATATGCTGCTCCAACAAGCAACATGCCCGGTTCCACCGCGCTCTGCACAAACTCAGAGAACGTGGGAGGGGCGTTGGACGCCATTATCGCTCAGTGAGTGTATCGCTTTTTTATGGCAAGAGGGTAACCAATCGTCAGGTTGATTGCTGGGTAGCTGGTTGAATAACTAGCTACAGGGCTAGAGGCAGCGCTGTGTAACTCGTCGACGTGCTTGCTCCCAATGTTCCCTTTCTCTCGTCGGGTATGAGATAGGATAGATAGGAGAATTACGGCGGGATGGTGTTGGTCCCCGTTCAGCTCCAACAGCTAGCCGTGCCTCGTTCGGCTCTCAGCCAAAAATAGGTCTGAAAATAAATATCCCAATTGAACTAATATTTAGCCGATTGCTGTGTATGAATAGCAGTTAGGCGACGATGTGTTTTCAATATGAAAAGGAGTGAGGCATCCCGTATTTTCGAATCCGTTCCGTATGTACGAAATACAGCATATCGAATAAGGTCGAAACACCAGAATTGAGGGGAATATACCAAGACGCAATTTAAAACATGATTCAACATCCTTCAACAAAAATAGGCCGGGAATCTTTCACGAGCGCTTCGCTTTGCAGGTGCCGAAGCCATGTGACTTGTCCGAGTTTTGCCGGGTTCGCCGAGTCGGAATGCCGAAGATTGTCCGAGGTATGACAGAGTTACATGCGGGCAGAAGAATATGAGCAATGCAGCCACAATACGAGAGAGTTGAGGGTTGCAGAGTTGAGCAGATGTTCTTTAACTCCGCATCTCACCCATTGACTGCGCTTTCTTGAGAAGATGGAACAACTGAACGCTTCCTCATATGGCGTCGAGGTGCGGCTCTGTCTCCAATGCAGCATAGGGTACCAGGATCTATTACCCCTGTTGATGCTGCAAGGAACTGCGCCAACTGACGGCGCAACAAATAGGGGGGTTGGAGGCTGCGTCAGAAACCAAATCTTGTGATAAACGCATAGATATAATCTAAGTAGCTTTCACAATTCTCCTTTTTCCAATAACATTGAGGCATGGCTGGCCTGTTACTGTTGCTTCCTACGAAAGACACAAGGTAGAGAGAGCATATAATGTTAACCATATGAAAAGATGGTCATGTCCGAAGAGGGAACAACGGTGACAGCGCCTCAAAGGATTTATGGCCCTGGATGTGAACACCATTCACCATACCAAAAAGTGTGCATTGTTATTCAACATCTCACATAAATCATGGCTTATTATTCATAAGGAACTTAATCATATAGAAAATTGAAAAAAAAATACATGCCCACCTCCCATTCTCTATAACATTGTTAGAAGGGTGATAAAATAACTAAAAGGGGCAGTGTTAGCCCCTTTTACGTCCATCTATTATATATGTCCATGGGAAAGGAATAATAGATAAAGAGGGCTAAAAGCAGAAATCAATAGAACCTTACCACTTGACGTAATTCTATATGCCAGTAGAACATAAAAAGCGTAAAATGAACCAGCATCAACTAACTGGGAAATATGAGAGGAAAAACACAAAAGGAATCTCTATGATATGCAACCAACCAAACCTCCCGTGTGTATAAATCATACCTGACCCCGTCAAGTTACTTTGCGCTATTACGACGCATGTTAGAACGCCCCCCTTTTTGGTTTTACCTGCCTTGGAAAATGACAAAATGAATCCGCTAACTTAATTCTGAAAATCGAAATTATACCCCATGCTCTTTGCATCCGGGTGTACATCCTTAATCGGATGGAAGAGTATAGACGGAAGCACAACCCGTCCGTACAAAAATTCATACTAGCAAAGGAATGATAAATCAGTTAGCAAAACATTATACAAACCCACGCATATATGTAGTAACTCACAAGAGCACCCCCAGTCGAACCCTTTTCCCAGCCCAAAAAATTCCAATACAACCTCCCCGCCAAATTCGCCCGATAATACCACGACAAATCCAAAAACCTCGCCTCCCTCTTCCACCCAAACGGGCTATTACTCGAACTCCCCGACCGCCCATTAATGCCAGGATTGAACCACCTCTCTACACTTTTGGCAGACAGATTCCTGTCCGAATATATCGGATGCGGCACCGCGACGGCCTTGAAGCCATGCAACAGCGAAACGGAGACGGGGAAAAGTTCAGATGACATGTGTCGGCCCAGGACATTCTCGCTATCCATAGCGAGGAGGAGGCGCCTGGATAAGCGGGAGTGAGTGATCAATGAAGCGCGACGCGGGGTGTCACTACCCAAGTATCCGTAGACTTCGTTGCGGATGACCCATTCAGTTCCTATAGGGTGGAAGATGGGGAGGAATCCTATGTAATCTGCATCTTCGCCTACGCTCCATTCATAGTTGTCCTCCTCCGGTGAGGGAACTGGTGGTGAGGGACCTTCTGGCCTGAGAGATTTGAGGTTAATGGGCATGGGACCCCATATGGTTTCTGTTTCAGATTGTTGGGTGAAATTGCGGAAGGCATGGTTGTAACTGCCGTGCAGGGCAGGGATATAGAAGCGGGCGTTGCGCTCCCAGAGGCCGCGGCGGGGTTGGTTGCGGCTGAATTGCGAAAGTTTGGAGGCGAATTCGTAGTGGTGGCCTGTGAAGCGGGAGTCGAGTTCCCAGTTCCAGATGTAGTTAAATTCTGGGCGGGTGAGGGTGAAGTGTTGGACGGAGAGCCATTGGGCGCGGTGTACGCTATAAACTTATGTTAGGAAGTCGAGGAAGGTCAAAGGGAACGGGAAGCGGACGTACTCAGTAAGGCTCATCTGAACAAGGTCTGGGTAGCGTTTTGACACCATAGGGATATTCCATAGGACGGTTATCTCCCAAAACTCCCTGGGTACGTGGTCTTTTATAACCTGTTTATACACGTCGTCCTTATCAAGTTCAATCTTCCCATCCTTGACATGCAGGAGGAGAAAAACAGTATACTCCCCTCCGGATTGCAGTGACAATTCTGTGATCATCGAGCGGATGACATGCATATCATTATCGGAGTATGTCTTTCCCACGTACGTGCGAATAAGAAGGGCAGTACGTGTCTCCGGCTTCATTTGGCGTCTGGAAGAATTTCGCGGCAAGTCACCCAACAGAAACTCGTCACTATAGAATCTGGCGGCGTTTTTTGCGACGCACTGCCGTTGAAGCTTCCCCCAGTTCACTTTACCCCATTTCACCCGAGATGGTTTCTTCCAATTCTTGACGTCCGTTTCATTCTCTCCAAAGCCGTATGCGCCGTATCTTGTGTAGCGGTCAAAGAAGACATTTTCATTAAGGCCTATAGCTCCATGAGAGCCAAACATGGGTTTAGGGAATTCTATTGCAAAGCGTTAGTCCATTTGTACGTATACAGTCAGATATACCATTGATAGAAATATTTATATACTCAGGTCGCCCACATAAGCCCCAACCTGGTCGTCCAGATTTTCTGCTACCAACTTGCCCCTCGGACCCTCGCAGGGGTAATATCTACCGCGATGGGTTTTGTTCCATTCCTGGCTCTGGTAGTCCGGATATGGACTGTATATTTTAGGTATCTTAGCCCCCTTTACGTCAGCGAACCGGGGGTCATCGACGACGTATGAATGGTTTAAATGTTCAGGGGTTGCGGTGAGTTTGGTTAATGTTGAGATGAAATTCTTAAAGACGCTGTATTTTTCCAATAGATTTTGAAGTCAGCACATGAATTTAGAGAAACCTAATAGCTAATATATGCAGTCAATATTGAAAGACTAACCTAGGATGCTGGCCAGCTTCTTCATGATACTGTTCCTGCAGGGATTTTATCTGATGCTAAAATAACAACATAAAATCATGATTGCATTCAATCAGCTTAGGACAATTTTATACGCCAAAGCATGGGCACACAATACGGTGGATAAGGGTTTAAGATGGTACCATACGTTTTGGTGACCCCTGAGGTTATGGCCAATGATTACAGCCACTGAGAGGAAGATACAGAGCAGCAGTAAAACACGGCGGGAAGGCCTGTTCAGCAAGATCCGATTGATAAATCTCATGACTTCTTGAGAGGCATTCTTGAGAGAGACTTCTAGAGGATGATAGACGAGAGTGGGCAAACGAAAACGACTGTATGCAATATGTTGTCTGAGATGATATCTTTCCTCGAGGCTCACAGTGAAAAGATCTCTCCATGGAGCATGAAGAGCAAGAACAGATGACTAAGGGGCAGGGCAACCTCCTAATTAGCCATTATCTATTTAATATTATTATTAATCGTGTTTCTTTTCCGATCAAGAAGAAGAATAAGAAGAAAATGAACAAAAAAAAAATGCAAAGAATTATGGGGGAGAGGATGTAACTAAGTTATAACTGTCTACAGGAGTGGAGCCCGGCCCGTTGCAGAATTATGAAGGAATCAACTTTTAACCACATCGTTTCTGGTCAATTAATTGAACAGTTAATTACTCCTCTTGCAATCAAGTGGATGTTTTTATTCTTCATTCTGCCCACTTCGCCATCCCCATCCCGCTCATCCCGCATTTCCTGCCAAACATGCATCATTACTAGGATTTAATTGACAACATGCGTTTCATGCCCCTGAACTTTAGGTAATGTAGACCCCCCGCCACCATGGAAGAAATACTCCACTCTCCAAAGCCTACAGCCCTAATCGCCAACCGATGAAGACTCTCGAGAACCTCGGTATGCTTCAGACTTCAGATGGATGATGAGAAAAAATTGCTCTATATTTTGACTACAATATTGTATTCCGAGGGTAACAATAGTGAAGGATGTTTCTACCTGATAAATATAACTTTTGAGAGCTTCAAAGGCGTCTCTAGCTTTTGGGAATTCCCAATTTTAATGGCAGCTGTTCGAATCATGGATAGTCTGACCTTGTCTCCACCAGCTGACTGAAGAAAGCCCTTCGCATGGCTTAACTGCGTGCGCGACGTTCTTGGTCGACTAGGGTTAAACGGTTAGTTTTGAATTATTCATACTAAGCCACAGAAACCTTTCCCTCCGTTAATTCGATGAGTTGCCATACATCTACATCACTCATGCAAGAACAGAGAATCCATACAACCCCCTTAACACAGAGGGCGTATAAATAGCATTCATTAGCAGAAACGAAGAAAAGACTTCCAACCCTGGAGAGGAAGATAAAAGACAAAAGAAACATGGTAAGGGAAGAAGCTGGATTCAGAGGTGTTGTCGATATGATTGCAACTTTGGGGAGGAAATGAAGCAAGATGAAATTAGAATGTACTGGTAAGCAATAGGTACCATCAAAGGCCCCAAAAGAGCAACAATATATACAGACAAAGGAAAATCAGAATCAAAAAGGATCAGTTTAGCGAAACGGGTGACAGTTAAAAGACGATATGGCAAAATGGCAGGCAAAAATAGAAAAAAGAAGGGAAGACAAAGGAGCCATTAACAAGAAATAAACCATGACTAGAGAAAGAAGAGCTGAAAGTTTGGTGTGGAGAGGGAAATATATCCATCAATATGTGTTCCGGAATCCGTCGAGGGATCTGGTGGTTAATAAACTAACAGATAAAACCCATGCAAAAGCAAAATATCCCATATCGACGTAGGAGGACCAGGTACGGGGAACTTCCAAGTTTCCCAAAAAAGTGTGGAAATTTGGAATTTCCAAATGGAAAAGGGTATCGATAGGATACGACAGATATAAATATATGCACCAAGCGAGACAGGAAGGTGATGAGATGAAGAAAAATATCCCGACAAGGAAATTCGTCAGACGCATTGGACTAGAGACAACGTAAAAATGAGGAGACTTGTTCAGATTGTAGGACGTCAGATCGAAAAAATGATCAATGTTTGTGGGGTAGACGGCTAGCTCTCGAGCTATATCGGCTCGTTCGAGACAGTGAGCTGACATCATGCTTGCCTGATACGTAGAAGAAAAAAAATTAGGGCTATGTTCGACCACAATAGAAAAGATCAATTAAAACTTCACAGAAGAAGGGGGTAATCATACCATCACAACACGCCCGCACATTCTCCAACAGATCCGCCTCCATCTCCTGCTGTTCAATAAGTTGTCTTAAATTCTCGGTGCTATCTCGCTCCGTAGCGTTGGAGTTATCTATATTCTCGTTCGCACGGTCATACCTGCTCCGCCGGCTCGAAAGCGTCCCGGACATGACCGAAGTCCTAAACATCGTGCTGAGACGGGAAACAGAGCCATGGCGCACATCGACACGGGAAGTAGAGTTGCGGCCACTGGATAACGCTGGGGACGCACGACCAGAGATCGCGGGTTGTTTCACTGTAAGCGTGGGTTCCGGATACTGTACGGAGTAAGTGCGTGCGTTGCGGCTCGTTCGAGAAGCAATGGACATGCGCGATCCTCCAGGACGGGATGAGCCGTGTATAGATGGGTTAAATTCATCCACGTCATCTTGAGTGAGATTGTCACCTCTCTCTGCAGTCTCTTCACCGGCAGTTCTCAGAAGGAGATACGAAAGAGCATTGAACCACGTTTCATGCCGTTGGCTTGTTGAAGCGGTGAGTTTGACTATCCGACCGGGGGTGATGATCTCCAGACTTTTACGGTGTAAGCCAGGGGGGTACGGATTATCGTCATTGACTACACGAACAGCTTCAATGGCGACGCTCTTTGCTTTATGTTGCGATTTCCCAGCTGACTGCGGGTCCTGATCACTCCAGTACAACGTTCGAGTGTACGGATGAACCCAGAAATAGCGTTGGTGACGGGTATTGCTAGACAAATCTGGCCGAACGGTCCGGCGTGTATACTTCCATAGAAACTCTCCTATCATTGTCTGCGTAATAGCCTGGATCATGCGTGGATCGGTACCAGACTGAAAGGGATATCCTCCATTGTTCATGTTGAACCGTACATCAAGCTCTGACGCGAATGAAGATACCGATGAACGGCGCGATATTTGGCTGCTACGTCGAGTATGCGCACGGGGTGTAACACCATTCTTCATGCTTGAAGCTTGATCGTTTGGTGTGCGGGTCCTGCTTTGTGCGTTAGTGCGAAACGCAGAAGCGGGGGCGAGAGGAGGCCCCATCGTTCCTGAGGAGGGGACATCTAAAGATCGTCGCTGGCTTGCGGCAGCAATAGCTTGTTTGTGGTCAGGAGGTAGCGGGGGATAGGACGTTATCGAGCCGCGTCGTTGGCTGCAAGCACTCCCGGGACGTTTAACAGCAGTCTGTGGAGGCTGTGACGTATCCTTCTGCAATGTACTTGGTAGAAGCCTTGCCTTAGGCGTGGAGAGAGAACCGGAAGCGCCCTCGACAAGAGCTTGAAGCTGTTTACCGTCTGTGTCCGCTTCCACGGAAGGTGCAGCAGCACGACGAGAAGAGCGCTCGATAAGAAGCTGGTCGATCTGGGTTGCAGTAAGTATTGTCTGGACTGAATTCTCTGTAGTCGCAGCCGGAATGTGCGGGACAGGTTGTGCAGGTTGCGGTGCAACAGAGCTATGCACAATTTGGCTGAATATATTATCGGCAAAGGGCGCTGCTACATCCTTTTTCTTTTCGTCCTCACCTACATTCGCCATTTTAACAGATTTGTCTACAGTGGAAGAAATCAGAAAGATTGGATCAGTCCCAACATCCACCGAGTTGAAACCGACTATGCTGTGGCTCGAAATTTCGTTTATATCGACTGCAGTATTGGGTCTCTCTGACGAATTCTCAGCATCGAATAGTTTAGTTTGTGCGACCACTCCACACAATACCTGCGGTTCCACCGGTTCTGTTTCCGCTGTGAAAATCGGCGAGATCTTAAGTTGCTGAGTTGGTTTCTTAACAGCCTTTGGCAAAGATGGCTCCAGTGGTTCCGTTGTCTCAGTTTGGATGGGTGAGAAGACGAGCGCGGGTGGCGTAATAGCCTTCACAAGGGCAGGAACAGGGTAAGTTTCCTCATAGGTAATGGAAGACATATCTAGCTGAGGTATTGGCTGTGGCGGTTGTTCCTTGTTGATAGTAGGAGCAACAGGCATGGTTTCTTCGGATAGGATTGGCGATATATGTAATTCCAATGGCAGCAACGGAGTCAAAATTGGAGACTCTGGCATATCTGATTGCACTTGACGTTGTTTTCCTGTGACAGGTACATCCCATATTGTCTTAGGCGGAGTATCAAGAGCAACAGAAAGATCACCGATGTCAACTGCCGAACCCTTCCGCGGTGTGTACTGTGTAGCAGAGTCAACAAATTCCGTCGCATCCCCAGACTCCGTAGCAATCTTAGTGTCAGATTGAGTTGTCTCTGCTTCAACGGGCGTCAACGAAGCCACGACATCCGGCGTAGTCTGCGAAGGTTGCCAGGATTCCGTCATCGTTCCCGAATCTACCATTACCCTAGTGATGGAATAAGTGCTAGTCGCCTCGGACGGCCGGCATTGGTCATTGAATCTGGAAATATTTGGCGTTGATGTTTGGGATACCGTGGTCGAATAACGAGGGGTTCCAAAATCGCTACCACTGTCTGGACCATTGAGTTGGTCCTCCAATTCCGCAAAAAGGCTCTGCCCGGATGGGATAATCAGAGGATGTGCTTGGGAGACACTAGTAGCAGGGGAATTTTGCGCACTCAAATTAGAGCACACAGGGGCCATGGAGTCTCCGGAGGCTCGCCCACGTCGTTCACGCGTACGAGTCATTTTCAACCTGTAGCGCTGTGGTTGCAGTGCTTGAATGGGCGTACGCTCGTAATCCACATCAAAATCCTCATCGGAAGTCGACGATGTGCTCATGAAGGATGTCCAATCGCTAGCTTTTGTCATGGACAGTCCTGTGGATTTTTTACTCCGGACACTAGTTGCGGGGCCAGAACGACTTTCAGTTTCAGTAAGTTCCTCTTCACTGGTATCTCCACCCAGGCTTTCAGCACCAGTTTGGAAAGCCTCACTTTCAGTCGCGGTTTCTCGCTCATTTGCAGTTTCGAACGCGTCTTCCGTCTCGTTTGTGGTCTGATAAGCGTCACTTGCATCAACTGAGTCACTGCGGGAGCGAACAGAAGACAGGAAAGTATTAAATCTTCCAGATA